AGTGCTGTTTTCAGTTCTTTGAGTATTCTGAAATTGGAAAGGTTAGAGAATCCCAAACGTGTTTTATAGGGCTTAGATCTAAAGATCTGACTGACAAACCCGTCCGGTTGCTATCACTTTCCAAAAAATCACCTACCAGATTAGCCCTGTGTGGATGACCATTGTCATAAAATGAATTGAGGGCCAACATCACTCCAGAGAAGACAAATATAAGATTCTAACATGTCTTCTGTATACGTTGCAGCAAGCAAAGACCCTCTGTGAAACACTGAAATTCTGTTCGCCTGTCCTACATAACCTGTCCAAATCATCAATGGCGTGGGCCCCATCTTCCTCCATGGCGTAAGCCAAATTCTCCGTCTCCATAGCTGCAAACAAACGAATAATTAATTTTGATTGTGCAATGAAAGATTATATTTACATTACGAACTAGGGTTTCTAGAATTACGATATGTATATTACGTAACGATTAACTAATTTATGGGTTTAAATTATGTAATTACGTAAATGAACCGTTATTTTTATAAAAACTGGATGTGTAATTGGAAACAAAAGTCAGATTATAGTATTTACTATTCAAATATACTATACATTGAATTACTCCTACATCCTAATATAGTTAGCACAGGTACAAAAATTTTAGTTATTACTTATAAAATTGACCGTATATTATAAAGTAAATACTAGTTCTAACTAGCAGGTAAATAAAAAATAAAATTGTAATACTCACATGGTTGCATGTATACCAAGAGTCGAACATATAGACCATCGATTTACAGTTTATATGAAATTTTTCGACAAAGTTCAATAATTTAACGATCACAAATCACAACCCGCACTTAAAGAAAATCATTAATTGTAACAGCTTAATTGAGTCACTGCGAATTGGAAGACTGATGTTTCAGTTGTTATTCAAAAGTATTGAACTCTGTTCTTTATATGAAAGGATAAATTCTCCGCAAAGCCACTGGTTAATACAGACGGTGTTGCCAGTCGCTAGTGCGAGTGAGATGACTACACTCACTCAAAGAAAGAAGATTCCCAGGTTCCGTTACAGATTAAATAATAAAAAATTCCATGTAGCCGCCCAACCGGGACAGTGACTAGTGACTCTGAGTGCCGTACCGAAAGGCCCGGGTTCGATTCCCGGAGAAGACATGAATGTTTGGAAAAGTATAGTGTCTGTGCGACATAGGCGCATTTTAAATATGTGGCGAGACGAAAGTCCTCTCGGAGGATTGTAGGGAAAGAGGGGTGGGAGATCCTCGTACCCGTCCCTCGGGGTGCTAAGCAAAGTGGGCGGAGCTAAGCAAAGTCGTATTGTCACCTGTATGGCTCTCAAGGCGCTTGCCAACGACAAGCGCAGCTTTACATCCCTTGCCACGATGAATTTCATGGGTTTGTTCTGATGTTACTGTCAGAAAAAAGAGATAATTCACAACAACAGCAATAACAAAGCTCCGCGCTTATTTTAATCAGTCCGAATTGTAGCTAGAACAAAAATATGAAAAGAAATGGTTCAAATTTATAGTGCAGTTTACAAGACATTATTATAGTATATTGTGAAATTTTGTCGCCTCCAAAAAATCCCACCCGGGGTGGGCCGCGGCCGCACGCTACTCCAACTGGTATTATATTAATAAATGTGCGTTATGCACAGGGACGTTTTAAAGCATGGGCCAACAGGGCTCGGGCCCAGGGCCTCGCCTTCAGAGGGGCCTTGTCTCGTTCTTGACTCGGCTTTGATAAGATCATGATGCGAATAATTTTAATCGACAAATGTTTGTCTAGGACATTTTCTCCAAAACAATAGGAATTTCCAACTATATGCTAACTGGCAACAGTGGCAAGACTGCATTATTATGTCATGTCGATCGTTCGTGTCTAGGCCTAGTCCTACCGTCGTACGTCATCATTAATCATTTAGTCGAAAAGCGGCAGTCAGTCGTCTCGGTTTGTGCCTAGATTTGTGAGATTGAGATTTATTACGGGTTAGCGTTTGTACGAGTATTTAACAGCTTATAATATTGCCTACTTAAAATCTATAGGTTAGAACAAAGTACTTATTTTATACCCCCACAATTACTTTCAACATTTATTTAATTATTCCAGATTCAAGATAAGTCAGAAAGAACAGTTTTGAAAGTGGAGCTACAAAACGTACAAAATCGATGGAAAAGAAGAAATCTATTGATAAACTACCGAAGCTGTGACAATTTTTTATTAATACAAATCCTGCATCTACATCTTCATATACCTCTACCACTTCTACCAGTATATCGATACACCAGAAGTGAAAAGATAGGGCCAGCGAGAAACCAACTACTTAAGAGTTCAACAAGAACAACAAACAACAAGATCTCCTGAAATAAGCACAATAACTAATACGGTTATGGATGTTTAAAATATTTTTTTGAAAGTACAGATCCAGTGTTGTGGCTTTCACATATTGACAAGAGTTTACTATCGTACTGGCCTGAGAAAAGTTCGTGAGTTTGTTCCAACAAATATAATGATTTTGAAATATCAGCACGTATATACAACGAACGAAAAGATAAACTAAAGCAAGATACCTTTCTGTGATGTGGTTCAAGAAAGAGTTACTTAATGGTGAGGTTGTAGACCGCGAATGGCAAATATATTCTTCGTTTTAATGAAAAGTGTACTGTTTCGTATGTAAATTGTTTCCATCTACCAGTTCTACATTCAACACAAGTTGATTCAATGACTGGAAGCACTCAAATATGGTTTCTTCATAACATGAAAACTAGCCTGAACACAGAAAGTGTATGATGAGCTACCACACTCGTTTACAGTTATCTAATGGTGTAGATAGCCAGCTTATCATACAAGTCAATGATAAACGTCATTAATGGAAAGAAGTGTTGAACAGCATAGTGGCTGTCATAAAGTTCTTAGCATCACGACGACTACCTTTCAGAGGGTAAAATGAAACTATTGGTTCGGTAAAAAAAAAAAAACGAAAATTATTTAGGTACTTTGGAACTTTTAAATAAGTTTGATCAATTTTTGGATGAACATATCAAAAAGTACGGCAATTCTGGAAAAGGTAATCCCTCTTATCTATCTGCTACAATTTGTGAGGAATTCATAGAAGTTCATGGCGTCAAAAGTCTATTTCAGCAACTATCGTCACTGAAATACAGAAAGCTAAGTATTACTCTATCTGCTGATTCTACTCCATATATCACTCATGCCGACCAATTAACATTTATTATAAGATATGTCCAAAATGGCGTACCAGCTGAAAATTTTTTTGCAGTTTATTCATATTTATGGATATACTTCAGACTATCTGAAGGATGTTGTTTTTTCATTTTCGAAAAATAACAACATTTTACACAGTGATTGTAGAGGTCAAAAAGGAAGATTCATAAGAAATACAATTTTACAATTGCGAATGATGATGAAAGAACAGTCATTGAATGAGAAAATTGGGATTGGTATCAGTACACTCTTTATACATACATATATAATGAAAGACTATTCGCAGTGTTCCCAAATGTTGAAAGAGAAATGAAAATTTTCTTGTCGATGGGGATTACTAACTCGAGTAGTATTGTATGACTCAATTTGGTTTGAATAATTTCAGTTTGATCACTATTGAAGACGAAATATTATTAAGAATTGATTTTGAACAGATAATTAATGACGCTGCGAATTTAAAATGTATAAAACGAATTTTCAATTAGAACTTCATTTTATTATAGATGGCTTTTATTAAACCTAACATTTAATGAAATATAAGGGGCGCAGGTGGGGCCTTCTTTTGCCTAGAGGCCCAGGACCTCAAGATGTCTTAAGACGTCTCTGGTTATGCTAGATAAATTTAAAGTTTTACCTCTTCAAAAGGAGTCTAATTTTACATCCTTTTATTAAAAAAAAACTAGCAGCTACGGGCCAGCCTTCATCTCAGCTTAAGTGTTCCGGGAAAATGCCTGAAGGGAACATCAAACGTTAAATTTAAAACTGCGCAAAATTTTACTCTGCCAGCAACATATATTCTATACTATGCAACTACCTAAAGGACAGGCGACTCTTAGCCGTCCACAATGCTGGAATCTTGGATATGGTACAAACAAGAGGATGTCCACAAGGGTCGTGCGCGGGGCCACACTTATGGAACATAACGTTTAATGAAGTGCTCTCTGCCGCATGGCCCGCGCACCGCCTATGCTGATGACGCTGCAATGGTCGTCAAGGGACGGACTAGGGACGTTCTCCAGACAAACTGTAACGAAGTGTGTCACATCTTTTATGTCAGGTGCACCAATCTTAAACTGCAAATAGCAGATCATAAATCTAAAATCCTCTTGATCCCTAAGAAAGGCGGATCACTTGCAAGACGCCCTACGATCAAACTAAATGGGCAGAGAATTAAAATTGTGAATACCTTGAAATATTTGGGTGTCACTTTTGATACTAAAATGACGTGGATCCCCCACATTCAAGATCTCAAGCTAAGAACCAGTGCTATAGTTAAGCAAATGCGTCAGTTTTATGGTTATAAGTGGGGACTCAATCCACACATACAAAAAGTGTTATATACGACAGTAGTGGAAAAGATAGCTACATACGCAGCAGCAGTTTTGGTGCCACCCAATGCAGGGCAGGAAGATTAAACATCTTTATTACCATACAACGGCCCTTCGCATTGGGCATTACAAGGGCCTACCGTACAACCTCATCGGATGCTCTTAATGTATTAGCTGGTCTACTCCCACTACACATACGAGTTGAAGAAGAGGCGGCCAGACAGATTATACTGCAACTCAAAAAGCCAACTGTGTTTGACGAGGAATACTTTCCATCCGGAAGAATATGAAGTCATTGATCGACCACTGCATGTCCACCCAGCGAGCAAAGGCACTGGTGTCAAAGTCACCATCAACCCGTCTACGACTAATTCCCCAACACTATTTAACATCTCACACAACGGCTCCAAAATCGATGAAAAAGCGGGATGCTCATACATAGTCATGCGACATGATACAATTCAAGCAAGATGGAAGGCACAACTGCGGCGGCAGCATAACAGTGTTTTTCAAGGAGAAGCGATAGCAATTGCCCAAGCAGTTAACTATTTGCTCTCCTCTAACATCCATAATGCCACCATCAAAACCGACAGTTTGTCGTCGTTGCATGCCATCATGAACCCCAACCATGTCAGTAAAATAATACAGGGCATTCAAGCAAATCTGCGCCAATGCAACCTGCACATCAAGCTTGAATGGATCAAAGCACATGCGGGTCATCTCGGAAACGAGATGGCGGACCAACTTGCCAAAGAAGCGGCGTTAGGCCCGACAGATTTGCAGTTCAATATCCCATGGCCGGTCACATTTTCTAAAGAAGTCACTACGACTTAAAGCCATTGGCAAGTGGCAACAAGAATGGGATGACAGTACCACTGGAAGACGTGTCCACTACCACATCAGCTATGTGGACACAGAACGGAACATTGCCAATTCACAGCTGGTTAGGTACATTTCGGGACATGGACCTTTTCCTGTATACTTCTACCGATTTGGCATCTGTTCCTCAGATCAATGTACGTGTGGACACACAGGCTCCCCGGAGCACTACCTAACTTCTTGTCCACTCACAGAGGGACAACATGTTCCTATACCAACGACTAACAGACAGTCATTTTGTAAATTCCTTATTAAGCAGCGCCACTTAATCCAAAAAATTGGACGTATGATGGATAAGCTGGCAGACCTAAACACAGACTTATGCCAAATATAGCAGTCCGCGCCGCGCAGCCTAAGCACACTTGCATATACTCAATGCAATATGAACTGCATAACGTTACAACAGTTACTGTGAAATTTGTAATGAATGGACGCCTAAACTCTGCGTCTGATTTTACACCCAATATGCAAACCACATAGGCACATGTAATATTAAAATGCAATAGTATCTGTAAGTTTGTTCCAAATGTAATCTGCAAATTGCAAACTGTGCGTATGTGTGTCTAAGACAAAATGTGCTATACTACAGTTCAAATGTATTGATGTAACTCCAACATAGTAAGCGAAGCTATAATGTAACCAGTGTTCAAGTCATTGATTTATATGTAACGTGTGTTTAATGTAAATATAGTGTCTAAACTATTGATTGTACTCAGTATATGTTTTTTTTTATATTTATGATATTTGTGTATGTTTTTTATATTTTAGCATGGTTTCTTCTTCATATAACTGTCCAATGGTTTATTGTACCGATTTTATGTAACATATGCTTACTGTACCCATGATATCAGGGACTGTATTCTGTATTGTAGCATGCTCCCACATATGGTTATCCTATGCAATTTTGTGTAACTGTCTTCCATGCTTTACCCCTGTATGTATATAACTATGTTCCATAGCATATTCTAACACGCACCTGTGAGGCGCAGTAAGTGAAGTTTTAACGCAACCAGAGTTTCAGTCCTTGATATATATATATATAATGTTTGTTTAATGTAGACAAACTCAGTCATTGATTTTCATGTAATGTATGTGTAATGTATATATGATATCTGTGTTTGTATTTTATATTTAAGCATGTCTCTACATATGACTGTATTATGCATTAATATGTAATTGTTTTTCATGTTTTACCCCTGCATGTACATGGCTATGTACCATGGAATATTTTAACATGCTCCAGAGTAGCGCAATAGCATCTGAGTCTGAGTCTTTGATATATGTCAGGTTAATGTAAACATAGTATCTCAGTCACTATTTTTTATGTAACATATGTTTAGTGTTTATATAATATTGTTTCCATAATCGTTATGTAACTCTCCACAAGTTTCATCCCTGCATGTAAATAACTATGTACATAGATTATTTTAACGTGCCCCTGTATGGTGCAGTTAAGTGAAGATTTAATGCAACCAGTGCCTTCATTTTTTGATATTTAGGCTACGCCTTTTTAATGTAGATATAGTATTTTAGACATTAAATTTCATGTAACGTGTGTGTACTGTATGTGTAATGTATCTAGATGTTTCCATGTAATGTATGTGTAATGTATCTAGATGTTTCCATGTAATGTATGTGTAATGTATCTATGATATCAGTGTTTGTATCTTATAATTCAGCATGTCTCCACATATGATTGTCTTATGCATTATTATCTAACTGTTTTCTATGCCTTACTTACCCCTGCACATATATAACCTTGTACCATAGAATACTTTAATATGTGGCTGGGTAGCGCAATAAGTGAAGCTTAAAGCACAACGTCTGAGTCTGTGATATCCATGCAATGTCTGTCCAATGTAAACATAGTATCCAAGTCATTAATGTTTACAAGTTTAATGTATTTAGGATATTGGGTGTTAATAATTGTTAAGTAACTTTTTCCATGTTTTACCCCTGCATGTAAATAACTATGTACCATAGAATATTTTAACGCGCCCCTGTGTGGAGTAGTAAGTGAAATTTTAATGCAACTAGTGCCTCAGTCCTTGATATTTAGGTAATGTTTGATTAATGTAGGTATAATAGTATGTTAGTTATTGATTTTTATGTAACATATGTTTAATGTATCTATGATATCTGTGTTGGTATGTTATATTTCAGCATATCTCCACATATAATTGTTTTATGCAATATCATCTTACTGTTTCCATATCCTACCCTGCATGCATATAACCTTGTGCAGTAGAACATTTTATCTTACGCCAGTCAGGCGCAATAAGTGAAATCTAATGCACCTAGGCGTCCGAGTCCTTGATATTTATATTGACACTGGTGGACGTGGCGCTACACCAATTAACCGTATGGTAAAGGGGTGGTGCCCACCTCCTCCGTCGCATGTCGCATGTCTGCAGAACAGCTTCATAGGGAAAAAAAAAAAAAAAAAACCCACGAATTAAAAAAAAATATTACACATAACAAAATTACAATAAAATAAGCAATATCCTTAAATAGAAATATTAATTATCCTAATAAATAAATTAACCAGCTTCCCGTTGCCTTCTTTCAACAAACGTCCCGTATCCAAGAGAAACATTAAATTTAAAAACTGCACAGAATTATCGCCCTCATTTTTCCAAGTGGCAACAGTGTTGATTTTCAACAGTCAGCAGTCCAGTATAAAGTACTGAATGGAAAACTGTTGCCAAAACCACATTTCTAAAAGCATGAAACTATTCAAAATGATAAGATTAAATCGAAAAGATAAAATAAAAAAATCTGATTCGAATTTTGAAAAAACCGCTTCGAGGTGCATCGGTTCTTGTCTAGATGCACCTATATACCAAATTGCATAGCCCTGGGTATATAGCTTACGTGCAGCACGAACGAAAAACACACAGACTCTTTCTTTTATTATATGTAGAGATATACATTAAAACAATATTGTTCAAGTAAAACCTCTCATTATATATTGTCTAAGCCAATTTTCCCGCACTAGAAAAGAATACTCAAAAGATGCAGATGTGCTGACACGCAGAAAAGTTTTAACTATTTTTATAAATTAAATAATTTAATTAAAAATAAATGCATAGTGTTAATCTTAATTAAAATCATTCAATAAAACCAGCAAAAAATGTTTTTTTAATTGCTAATAAAAAATACTAATAAAAATTTCATTCCATAGGAAATTCAAGATGATATCTTGCTGTCCATCAAATGAAAAAAACCTAAAGTAAAGCGAACAAAATGAGCAGTTAAACTTTTTTTCATAGGCAGTCACACACATAACTAGTCAATATGCATCAAACTGCGTATTTAGCCCACCAGTGGCCGAGTAGTAAAGTCCCTGAACACTGGTAGATCGGTCCTAGGGTCTAATCCCGCGAACGGCTGACTGCATGGATGTTTTCGTGTTTTTCCCCATGCGTAACGCGTTAATACGAGCCAGTTCCCTTAGAAAACATGAAGGCATCCCTCTCTTCCGTCGAGTGCCTTATAACGGAACACGTAAATAATAATAATAAAACGCGTAATTACTACTTATGTGTGTTTCGAAAAAGTAATGACCTTATTATCAAACATCAGAAGATAGTTACAAGGGATAGATAGCTTTTGTTTTGAAAATATTGTAAACTAAAAGTTTCATTTGAACACAAGAATTGTATGACCACTTTTTATGGACTCTTTTTTTAAATCAGAAAATAAAAAGAACTTATTTCTAGAATGAATAATAACAATTTCTACAATTTTTTTCTACGGAGGATATCACGAATCAAATCTTGTTATCATAAAACTGGTTGTCTCAAACCTTCATTTCATGGTCCAAGCATCCTACGTTCTAAACTTTTTGAATGATACAAGTTTCAGATAAGATTAAGGGGGGGGGGTACCTCATTTTCCTTATTAAAAAAATAGCTTCTAGTTACATAAATAAATTCTTAAATATCATTCTTATACCACATCTCTCTCTCTCTCTCTCTTTTTTGAAGGGGGGAGGGGATCTAATTGATTTGCAGAGATTTCGTCTTTTCTTTTTTTTTTTTCTACTGAAACAAATAATCTAAAATTACGCATTTGTGAGGGTCCTTGACATATTTTGTTTTAGCAGTTAATAAAGACACAAAGACTCACTCACGTGGAAGTAGTATGCACGAAGTTTTCTTATCAGTTTATCGAATTTAGTTACTATTTGACCTTCACAAAGGATAAAATTACATAGATCTTTCGAAATGCTCTTGTCAATCATTTGAACTCACTATTCTAAATTCAAATTCAGGGTTTAGGAACTTTCTGCACTGGAAGATCCGACGTTATTTAATCTTCATTATGACCAAGGGCGACACGCTGAGAAAATTGTACTCATAACACGTGAAAAAAAAAACTGTAAGCAGGAAACGACATAACATTACATAATTATATACATATATGTTATTAAAATCTGCATGCGTCTATTTGTATGTTTGTGACATCCTCTGTTCCGGAATGGCGGAGTTCGTTTTTCCGAGTGCCAACAGGCTCGCGCATTGGAGATAAATTTAATTTGAAAAATCGTATTGAAAGCTAGAAGCTAGTTAACGTTATTATTACGTGGAAATACTGAATTTCTTTTTTGTTGCTTTTCAATTTCACCATTTGTTAGTAATTTTACACAAATGATCGCAAAAATCATGGTTTAGATACGTCCTTTCAGTTACACATTTCAATCTGTAAAACGCGTTTATAATTATAAATAAGCATCACCCTTGAGCAGAGTGCTGTCCGACAACTCAGTCAAAGAACTTGAATGGAATCAAAGAGGTGATTTAAGTTGTTTGTCCCAATCCCATCAATGATTCTTTGTTGCAGTGGGTGACACAGAAGGTTCTCATAAGGCACTATTTTTCCAAACTGGTACTATTCGGTTTCGAGGGCCGTAAAAAATCGCGAAACTATTGTTGATGCCAATGCTGCCAAAA